AATGATTATGTTGCCGTAACATGGCGGCTCGTTCATCATCATCCGCTGTTTTGAAAACATCCATGAGCGTATCAGTCTTAAAGGGAAATATTTAATTTTAATAAAAAATTTTTAGTAATATTATCGATTTTTTTATTAATGCCATTTCTATTAAACAAAATATGATTACTGAAATTGATATTTCGATTGTTTTTCGTTAAGAACTAGTCGCAAAATCTCATTATTTTAGGATAATCTTCATCTAATAATTCTTGAACGGTTGTTAAATGATATAGATGAAGCTGCTGTTCCTTCAATCTTCTCCAAACCATCATCTAATTGAGCAGCTATTGCCCTTGTACTGCTTCCAGGGTTTTCTTCAACTAATTCTAAAATCTCTTTATTGTTTGTATCCAATCACCTGGTTTTATATGAAAAAGATGCTCTTACGATAAGAAAGCATGTATCCATTTTCATTACAAAAGGTTAAACAGTTCAACAGTTCATGAAATATTGGAAAAAATCGATTTTCATTTTGTACTTTCCACGGGTTTTTTTGTGTCCACATTTGCATTAAGGTAAGTTATGTTCAATCGAGTTAATTTTGACCCCATTTATGACCTACCTTTTTGTTACACCCTGTATATGGTTCTTGTGATTGTGTTTACCGAAGCCGAGAATGCAAGATCATAATTGCATGATTACTTTTAATTTACAATATACTCGAGAAGATAAGATAAATAAATGTTAACTTATTTTATAAGTAGTCGATTGATTTATTGTTTATTTAAGAGGACACTTTAACTCATTTTCATCTTATTCAATGGAGATTACACCGTTTTGATCTTGTTTTGATAAACTGATACATAAAATTACAATCGCAAGGTGTGAATCTCTACAAGAGGACGAATTGCAAATTCTTGGCATTCTAAAATGATGTAGTGAGTTGCTCTTGAGTCCATTCTTAGTACTGATAACTTACTAAATCGAGCCTGATCAGAGCTTAGTCTAGTTAACAAGTGCTTTTTGGGTAAAACTTTTTTTCCGCCTCCGAAAAATATGAAAGAGGTATCATTGGATCGGAATAGTATGTAGATGATTTTTGAAAAAATTCAAGAGCAGCTTGCAAAAATTGCAAAAGTTATAAATAATTAACTGAAAAAAAAAATTGGGTTTGGTTTTTAAAAATATCTCAAAAACTATTTGATCTCTTCCAAATTTGAAAAAAGATTTAAAAAGAGAAGAAAGTTTCTCAAAAAAAAGTTCTATTACCCGGAACTGTAGGACCAATATTTACCATTTTCCCAGGGGGTTGAAAATACAGCCAAAAACGGAGACTCTGGTTTGCGTAAGCTTCGCCAACTGTGGACCTTTATTGAATAAATATTATATAAACTTATTAATATGACAATTACGAATTGAAAAAAATCTACTGGATAGATAAATGAACAATAATCCGTGGTCAAAAAATTGTTATCGCTAATTTTCTATTAATTACGCATTAGTTAATTAACATTTTTTTCTTACTTGAACATTAACATTGCAAGTGCGATAATTTTTAAATAACGAATCTCAGATTTTGTCTTTTTTGAAGCAATTTTTGAACGGTCTCAGAAGAAATTCCTGTTGGAAAAATTAAAAACATGTTATTTTTTACTTTGTTATTAACAATTTACTTAGGTTAAAAATTAAAAAAACTTGATTAATCATTTAAAATTTTTTGTTTTTATATATATATATATATATATATATATATATATATATATATATATATATATATTACTATTGATCCGTTTTTTAATCATAAGAAGCCACATAAAAATAATTTTTAAAATTTTTTATTTCTGATTGTTTAAACAATTGAAGACACAAGTGGATGAAGGGCCTATGTAACATTTTTTTAAATGGTGTTTCTCTTTGAATGAAGGGGGTTTATGTACCCAAAATTCATTTAAATTGTCTTTCGTGACAATATATCATCAAATATAGAAGTTGCCTATGGATAAAGGACACATGTACTAGGGAATAACTGCCAAACAATAAACTTTAACACGAAATATTTCGTAAAAATTATTTTGCTACATAGGCCCTTCATCCACTTGTGTCTTCAATTATTATAAACAAATTCGTTGTTTATAAGTTAATTTAAATTAAATTTTTTTTGATGATTTAAAAAAAATCGTACCTTAAAAAATTTTTTATTGCTTAAAAAACGGATTTGTTAATTAACAATTTTTTTACCACTTGTAATTATTATTAAGGAACCATTTTTTTTTAAATAATAATTTACCTTGCTCTTTGATAATTAAAAAAAATGTTTATATTTAAATTTTAATTATTTATTTAATAAACAATTTGTTATAAACAATTAATTTTTTTTGATATATTTTTTTAAATTTTTCCTACATGATGAAACAAAAATAACCACGTATTATTTTTTGAGAATTTTTTTTTTATATTTTTTATCAAGTTTTAAAATTACCTTTAGCTGTAACTTTACCATTCTAATCTGGTTTTTTGTCTTTTAAACTAATTAAGAAAGGATGAAAAAACTTAAGACTTATTTATTCTTTATTAATTAAAGAACAAATTTAGCCCAAAATGTAATTGTTTATAACAAATTGTTTGTTAAATAAATAAACAATGAAAATTTAAATATAAACAAATTTTTTTTAGTTATCAAAGAGCAAAGAACGACTTTTTTTTAAAAAAAATCATAATTTACATCAAAGATTACGTTTCCAAAAAAAAAAATCATTTAAATCATCTTATAAACAACGCATTTGTTTATAATAATTTTTTAAACAATAGGAAACAAAAATTTTTAAAATCATTTTATGTGGCGTCTGATGATAAAAACGGATCAATAGTAATATAAATAAAAAAACTTTTTTTCAATGATTAATCAAGCTTTTTAATTTTTAACCGAAGTAAGTTGTTAATAACAAAGTGAAAAATAACAATTTTTTAATTTTTCCAACGGGAATCTCTTCTGAGATCGTTCAAAAATTGCTTCAAAAGAGAAAAAATCTCAGATTTGTTAGTTAACAATTATCGCAAAAAACTGTTAATTAACTAATGCATAATTAATAGAAAAATCGCGTAAAAATTTTTTGAGCGCAGATTATTGTTCATTCATCTATCCAGTAGATGCCTGAATTTTTTCAATTCGTAATTTTCATATTTAATAAGTTTAAATAATATTTATTCATTAAAGGTCAGCAATGGGCGAAGTTTACGCAAACCAGAGTTTCCGTTTTAGGCCGTATTTTCAACCCTCTCGGAAAATTATAAATATTGGTCCTACAGTTTCGGGTGATATGACTTTTTTTGGGAAATTTCCTCTTCTTTTTGAATCTTTTTTCAAATTTGAAAAATGTCAAATAATTTTTGAGATATTTTCGAATAACCAAATCCATTTTTTTTTGTTCAGTTAATTGTTTATAACTTTTGCAATTTTTGCAAGCGGCTCTTGAATTTTTTTCAAAAATCATATTAAAGTATTTTACTCGAAGGTCCGAGTATTTTTCTTAAATTTACTAGCTGCTTCCGCTACCGAAGGTCAGGTCAAAGCGTTGAGCGATATAAACAGTAATGCCAATTTATATTCAAATACCGATATTATGAATGTATTTTTTTGTAGAAATAGAAATATGTATGGTTGGCACAGACATTTTTATAGTAATGCAAATCTTATTTCAAAAATAAGAGTGAAGGCCTCCAAAATCGAATACCTATAATTTCAAAAACAATAATAAATAATAAAGGGATTGATTTGAGAATACTACATTTGGTTTTGTACATAATTTTTTATTGGAAACCATAAGTTTTATAAATATTGACTTTGTTATGTTATGTTTCGCTTCCTATGTTATTTTCTAAACATACGATCTGCAAAAAAATTGGATAAAGCAGTATTAAAACAGTAGTTTATGCAACAAGAGTGGAGAAGCATGATGACCAAATTCACCATGGAGACAAACTTTTTCTGAGTGCGATACAAGCAAACCGAATTGTCTTTATAGTATATTTTTTCTACAAATCATCAAAGAAATTCTACAACATTTTAAAAAATAACACAAAGATTTTAAGTTCTTGATTTTACTAATTTATATAAAAAAGAATTAGATTTCAACCCGGATTTGAACTCTGAACCTTTCGCACCTAAACTCATCACTTAAACTTTTGACACAACAGCTGACAATTCATTTCCTCTTAACAGTTACACTTGAACAGGGCCGCCGAGAGCCAGGCCGGGCCCCGGGACAATTCTCTACATCGGGCCCTGTCACAAAGAATATTAACCAAAAACTTCGTTTAAAAAAAAAAAAAAATCCTCACCTCGAAAATTAATTTTCTCCTTACCTCAATTGCTTCTCTTTCTAAAAAAAAAAGTCCTCACATCGAAAATTTAATTTCTCCTTACCTCAATAGCTTCTCCTAAAAAAAAAACCTCGAAAATTAATTTTCTCCTAATAAGTTAAAACTTTTCCTGTAACTTTCAATCACATCACCTCCCCTTCTCTTCTTATGTCGAATTTCTCATGCAAAAACAGAAAACCCTATTGTCGGGACCCCCTTATAGCGCTGCCGGGCCCCCATTTGAGCCCGGGCCCCGGGAATTAGTCCCGGCTACCCCCCCTCCCCCCTCTAGTCGGGCCTGCACTTGAATTGGTTTTATTTAATTTTATTACAATTTACCAAAATGTATGGTCTCTTTATAACTATTAACGATTAATATCTAATGGATTGTCATTATTTATCTATTCTTTAGTTATATTTAGTCCTAATAACAAAACAACATAATGACAATAAGTTTAACAGAATTGTAACTAATTTAAAATAAAAAAATAATAGTTTGTTTAACAAGAGCGTTTATGAAGACAAAGTTTGAGCACGATACCGTAGGAGGAGTACTCAATCATCTGTGTCTATAAATTTAAACACTTTTTTCCAAAATAGTGTTTTCGTATATTTCAAAATCGAATTTATAAAAAAAGAAAATTTTTTTTTTGTTGCAGTTTATTACCCAACTTCGGACAGAGACATTTACAGCAGCAACTGACTTTAAGAACTGGAGCTTCAAGATTTGGATTTCACAGAATTCTTTCCTGACGAGGTAATAATATACTATAATTTTACTTCAAGAAATACTTTACGCAATTCCAATTTTTACACTTTAGTTTCTTAGAATACTAGGTATATTTTCTAATTGAAATACAAAAATATATGTTTATAAAAAATAATATACTTTAGGAAACATTTCATTTCTTATACACATTTTAAACTTATTTTAAAATATTTTTATATCAATGTGTATAATATTCATACATATATTAGCCTAGATGTTGTAAGGGGCTAATTATTATTGGATTTTATTGTGTTGGAAAGCTGTTGCAGTTCTTACAATTAATAAATACTCATTAAGAACTTTTTCACATGTTATAGTTGTAATAAACAACTATAAAGTGAAACCGCAAGAGATAAAAAATTGGCTTCCGTTTGAAAAATCACTAGGCATAAAAGGTCTTAATAAAAATATATCACATATTTCTTGAAAAAAAAAAAAAGCTGATTTAAATAAACTTGCCACAGTACAAAGTTGCTTATTTTGGACGCTAGATGGTCGAGTTGGCATTATTTTTTTTTCTAAGTTATTTTTGGGATTTACGGGCTCAAAATGGTAGTTATATAAGAAAATATCTAGCCTAACGATAACAAAAATTAATACAATTCTAACTGTGTTTTTTAGTTAAGCATTTTTATTTTAAATCTCACCTCAGTATGCCATCTCAGGCTGAATATTTCGGGTAAGATGGCATGGTATGCCATCTAACCCAAACTACCAAGTTACTTGAAGTAAATAAATATAAAATGAGATTAAATTGTCAAAAAAAGTTTATTCAAGTAAAAATATAAATGAAATGTAATGCTTAACTTATGCAGAGTCAGGTACAATTATTAGCACCTAAAATTAAAATGAACAGAGCCTAAAAATATAAAAAACACAAATGTTATTCATCAAAAAAAGTAAAGTTAAGACAAAGTAGGGAGAAGGTACCTAAGCTAAACACAGAGCACTTTTTTAAAGGGAAAATCTGCACATTCGCAGTGGGCCCATTTCTTACAAGACAAGCAACGAATCCATTTTTCGTTTGGTTTGGAACAAGAAAATAGTCCATTGCAAAAGATGTAGACTGTGTCATTTTCATCGTCACTGATCTCTGTCTCTGATTGCATGGTCGGTATTAAACTGCGTGCAATTGTAGCAGTTTTTCTAGGTTCGGGTTTAGTTTTTTAATCAGTATCGTTAAAATTTTTAGTTTTGACTTTTTTTGCCTCCTTTCCTGCTAACTCAGCATTTTTTCGGCAGTTTTTATTTTTAAAAGTTCTATTTCGGGGGTTTTATTTAATACGCCATATTTGGAGAGGTTGTTCCATTTTCTTTTGTTGCTCGTATCAATATCTTTTGGTGAAGGTGAAATTTCTGAAGGTAGGATTAAGCAAGATGTTGCTGGAAATGTATTTGCTTCTTTTCCGACTTGTTTCTGTAATATTTTGTTTTATATACCAGATGACGCGCCAACCTGCAAATTATCTTCTGCACAGGCTAGACAACCCACGCACAGGCTAGACCTTCTGTGGGTTTTATTATTATATTTATTAACAAATTGTAATTTTCTTGTCGAATTTTGTTGTTGTTGATTAATAAATATTATTATTATTATTATTATTATTATTATTGAAATTTTCATTTCTTTGCTCTATATTGCTTTTCTCTTCTGTCGTTTTCTTATTGTTATTATTCGGTTCTTCTTCTTCTTCTTCTGACTTTTTATCGTTATTATTCGGTTCTTCAATATTCTGATTGTACTCAAAGTTGATGGTTTCCGCAGGCTCGAACATCCAATCCGGAAAAACATCTTTATTAAAAGAACATAGGTATATACCCGTTTTAGCAAACCCTTTTTCAGCATTGTTCATAGTAGTTGCTTTCTAGTAGGTAGATTTAAAAATCTTTCCTACCTGAAAATGAGTGACCACCCTTCCAGGATTTTGTTTTAACCAGCTAGTAATTTCTTGATTGTAGTAGGTGGAGAGTGGCCCAAAGAATGTGACATCTAATGGCTGCACCCTATGGGTACAGTGCGGTGGTAAACAAGATAAGGCAATGTTTTTACTGATCCTCTAAGGATTTGTGGCTTGTATGCCCATCTAGTATCAACAACACTTTTTCAATTTCTGTAGGTTATACAGTTTCAGCAAAAAATTTAAGCCACTTTAAAAAAATTTCGGACGTTGTCCATCCATTCTCCTGAGCAAAACCAATTGAACTAGGAGAAGAATCATCCAATAATTCGTTTTTCATGTTTTTGCGCAGAAATATAAAACACGGCGGTAAATAAGACCCGGAACGACTGTCCACGTTCCGCACTACTTAATACCTCAACTTGCTTTTTTCCCTTAGTTGCATAAACCTTACAATTTTTTGAATCAACTACTAAGGCCACTTTCATCCATATTCCAAATTTTTGTCGGGTTATAGTTATTTTGCTCGAGGGCTTTTTCCAACTGTTCAAAATATTTTTCTATAACCTAAGTGAAATAGTTGGATTGCGCTTCGTAAACCCCCTTTAAAGAATCCCAGCCGGCCATCTTCTTCTGAGAATTAAACGAGTGTTTATTAGTGTTTTGGACTGCCATTTCATATGCAAGTTTGCGTACCTCTAAAGTCGTAAATCCAAAGAACCTAGCTTCCATGTTTTTAATATGATCAACGAGGTGGCTTTCCATAGTCTTATCAAACGTTGGTCTTTTCCCTCCCAAGTAGTTCTTTTCTGCTCCTACATTAAATTTATTTATTCCCTGACAGCGTCGTATTTATGTACCAAAAGGAACATTGTAAGTTTTGGATGCTAACAACCAGCCCATTGTTCCAGATTTAACAGCTCTTATTGCTGCTTTCATGTTATCTTCGTCCCATTGTACACTTACCTTTTCTTTGGTATTTTCCAACCATTTTTTACTTAAACCTGCAACAACAGACCAGATAATTAATTTTGTTACTTAAGGGCGAGTTGGCATTCTATGCCAACTAGCCCGAAAGTATAGTATGCCAACTCGTCCCAAAATACTTTTTGAAAAATAAGACCAATTTACTCACAAGCACAATACAAAATATCAACGGTTATACCTTAGAATTTTAAGGTTAGGTCTACAAAATCGATTTACGTTTGTTAAAATTAAAAAAAATATTAGTAAGCTTATGTTTTGTAGCAAGTTATAAGAGTAAATTAAAAATTTCTTACCTTCAAAATAGCAATAGCGTAATTAATATCTTTGTTTATAATCGGAGGAAGCCACAAACAAAGCCGACTTGTACACAATAGGTAAACAGAAGGAGAAGGTTAATTGTGCCGCATATTTTTTAGAAGCCGAGAAAATACCAGTATGCCAACTTATCCAGTATGCCAACTCAGGCACATTTCCCCTACATCGTTCTGGTAAAAATAAATCCTTATAAATCCTCATACTTCCTTGTAAATACTTACACATCCCTCATACTTTCACGAAAAGCCTTATAAATCATTCATACACATGCCAGCAGTAAAAATTGATTTATATATTTTATTATGAATAAAAATATTTAAATTTAAGGAATACAGAATACCATTTTTCAAAATCTAGTTGTACAGTTTTCCCTCGATTTATCATATTGTAATTTACTTGCCACCTTTGTGTCAAATTGCAGAGAATTAGAATAGAAGCGAGTAGAAAACGAATAATATCAACGTTGCCAGTTTAAACAATTGGCCCGGCACACAACAAGAGATATCCCCATGCCGCTGGCCGTTTAAACTTGGCAAAATTGATATTATTCGTTTCCTATTCGACTAAAGCTAACGCTGTAGTTTTTACTTCGTGAATTAGTAAAACGAATTAGAAAGCGTTCGTTCAATATCTGACACTGTATCAAGGGCGGCTCCAGGGGGGGGGCATAGGGGCTATGCTAAAAAGGGAATGGTTAAAGGCAATGGTTAAAGGCAAAAATAGTGATGTACTTTGTCCATGAAAAAAGTTTCAAATTAATTAAAAACCACGAAATATTCGAAAATATTGGCTGAAAAGGTATTTTTATTGTTGAATGAATCTGCAAGAAAGGGAAGGGTGCAATTGAAAAAAATGGCCGATAACGTCATGGGATATTTGCAAAAAAATCTGGACAAAAATAAAAATGTTACAATAAAATGTGCCAAATTAAAAAAGTCCTATCTAAGGATTTTTGTGGTAAGAAAAGCCGTTTTTTTTAATGAAATTGTTCCATACTTTTGCCGGTCACTGTATATAAAATATCGTGTGGAGAAATTAATGAAGTGTAACGAATGTGAAAAAATAATTTTAATTAATTTTTAGTAATTCGCATTTATGTCTTTTTTATAAACAAAATAGGTAATAAAACTATTATATGGCATATGAGTGATTCATCGGTATTTTTTAGTTTGAAGTTGTATGCCGTTAAAGCCAATGATTTTAATATATTAATAAAAATTTAAAGGTATTTACATATTTAACTAAATAGTTTTAAGCTTCAATTTCATTAGCAGTACCGCAGTGGTTTTACCTAGGGCAACTACTCAATGAACTACAGTTATATTAATTGTCTGTTTGATAATGACTCGTATTATTATAAAATTAGCAATCTAAAAAATGTTTAAAATATTTGTGAAAATAGCAGATAAGGAATGTACCTAATAAGAAAACTACAAAAAATAAAAGAAGCAAAAATAATTAATTTAAAGTAGGAACAGAAAAAAAGTGACATACCAAGATCTAGCTGAATTATACCGTAATAATTAAAGTACAAACTAAATAGGCCATTATGGAATAAAGTAGAAGTAAAATGATATGCAATAAACTGGAAAGTCTCTTATGAGCTGTGCAATTCAAGTAGTGGTAAAATAATAATGCAAAATCAAAGGAATATTTTGATCCAGAACACCTGAAAAAAGAGTAGACATAACAAGAGAATACAGGAGAATACAGGGGGTGAAAAACGGAAATTGAAAGCTATAGCTCTACACTCCAAAGGGACTTAAAGGGCTGCCATAAGCAAGCCAT